AAACCACATCTGCTTTATCCAGTTTCCAACTGATGGGCAAATGAGCTGTTTCCAAGTTTTAGCTATTACAGACTGTGCTGTTCAAGATCTAAATATCAAAACAGAAACACTAAACTTGCTGGAAGATAAGTTAGGCAGAACTCTTGAAGACATTGGCATAGGAAAAGACATTATGAACAAATCCTCAGTAGCACGGGAATTAGCACAAAAAATCAACAAGTGGGATCTCATCTTATTAAAAAGCTTCTGTACTAGGGCGCAAATATATCAGGAAGATTTGGGTGATACCCCAGAGATTAAACCAAGGACAGTCCGACAACAAAAATAAAAATGAGAAAACGCTTAAGCAAGACACAAGGACAGACTTCCAGTCCACCAATGGCAAACAGTAGGGCAAATGAGAATGAAAAAGCCGATAGTGAACCACCAGGACATCCTGAACTCAAAGCACAGGAAGTAACACAACAGATCAATCAGGCTCTAGAAAAATTCAAAACAGAAATAAGTTCCCAGATAACCATAGAGATAGCAAAATGGAAGTTACGATTCGAGACTCTAGAGCAGAAACTGACAAAAAAATAGATGAGCTCAGGACCATGATAGAAGCCATGAAGGCCCAGCATAAGAAAAGAAATGGAAAAAATGAACGCCCAACACAGGAAAGAAATGGAATCCATAAAACAGATTCATACAGATATCCAGGAGATTAAACACTCCATAGAAAGTCTACGCAACAGAATAAAAGAATGCGAAGATAGACTCTGAGATATAGAAGATAAGATTGCAGTCAGTGACCATGAAAAGAGAGGTCTCTTAAAAACAGAAAGGGATCATGAGAAATCGATCCAACAAGTCCTAGATGATGCAAAGAAGAATAACATAAGACTGATGGGAATACATGAAGTAGCAGGAGAAAATACAAAGGACTTTAAAAAGCTGTTCACAGAATTAATGACAGAAAACTTCCCAAACAGAGGGGAAGAATTTGACATTCAGATAACTGAGGCATATAGGACCCCAACTAGCTACAATCAAAAAAAAATCTACACCTAGACATATAATAATCAAGATCCCAGAAACCCAACAGAAGAACAAAATACTACAAGCAGTAAGAGAAAAGAAACAAATCACATATAAAGGAAAGCCCATCAGAATCAAAGCAGACTTTTCAACACGAACCCTTGTGGCAAGGAGAGCCTGGAATGAGATATTTCAAGTACTAAAAAAGAACAACCTCCAACCTAGACTGATGTATCCAGCAAAACTCTCTTTCAAAATGGATGGGGAAATAAGTCACTTCCATGACAACACCTGAGAAACTACATAAATACCAAACCAGCACTACAAGTAATTCTAAACAAGATCCTAGAAAAAGACAATGAAGGCAACAACACCATGAGGCCCAGCAGAGCAAATCAAATAGGCAAGGCAAGAAATTAAAAGGAGAGGGTGAAAAAGTAAAAAGAGTCAACAAAAGGCCAATAACGTCAATAATAAGTCAGTATATATCAGTTATAACCAGCAATGTCAATGGCCTCAACTCACCAAACGAGAAATAGACTGGCAAAATGGAATAAGAAGCAAACTCCAACAATATGTTGTATACAAGAAACACACCTAGTGCAAAAAGAAGTCCAGAGACAAAGTAAAAAGATAGAAAACAATTCTCCATGTGACAGGAGCCCAGAAAAAAACAGGGGTAGCAATCTTATTTGCAGACAAAGTAAATTTAAAACCAAAACTGATTCTAGTATTATTGATGTAGGACGGTACTATATCATACCTCTATGAATGTAAAATATCTTATACCTGCTTTATGATACATAGTAGGGACCGTGCTTTATCAGAGCTACATTTAATGGTATTAGTCTAGAATGATCTCTTTCCAGATGATGATTAAGATGCTAATAAAAAAAACGATGCGAGGTACCACGATAGCAACAGAACTTTGCTGTTTTCTGGATATTATTTTCTCTGGGTTTTTTTGTTGTTGTTTGTTTTGTTTTAATGGAATGTGCTGAATGTCTATAATTTTGTTCAGATGACTGCAGAACCTGGAAAAGCTGTTGCTGCTATCAGTGCTTAACATACTGCTATTATTTATTATTA